TTACATCAGTTAGAGAGTAGGACGAAATATTGCTTAAAAGAGTGTGGAAACCTCTTCGTAGCAACGTATTTTAAAACTGTGAGACTGATGATGATATATAACAAGCTAAAATGAACAATATCTGAGTCAGTAGTGGGCTTGAGTTGTTACCATAATTCAACTGATCAAAACATATGTACTAGAGATTAAGTGATCAGATGTTCGAATAATCTCCGATAAAGTCGGGTTTTTTTTTTTATTTTCTAATAATCTAAACAAAAAGAAGGGAATCTATATATATATACATATATATATATAAATTCTTTTTGTAGTCCTTGCATGAGTAGTTATCAAACCATTTAAAGCTTTTGCCAACACAACATGTTACCTCACTCCATGAGTCCTTTTCCATTGGTTTTTTTTTTTTTTTACCCCAAGTAATTTCACTTCAACTAGGGTTTATTACTGGATGTTTCTTTTAACTCTCACGTTTTTTAGTCGTAAAATTACGACTCGTATGTAAAGGTTTCAATAGTCAAGATTATAGCACGTGTAAAATCATGTGTAATAATAAAAATGTTCATTTAACTTGTAGAGTTGGGATCTCACGAGCACCTGTCCCAAACAAGTCAAGAAATTCCAATTCAAATAGGGAATAAGGGAAGGATCGGATAGAAATTTCTCCTTATTAGCTAAATAGGGTCGGGGACGACCCCATTGTCTTCACCCCGTAGGAACTACGAGATCACCCCAAGGACGCCTTCGATAAAGATTATATTTCCCGCTACGCTAAATCTATAATTTAACCAGTGTAGTATGTAATTTGAGTTAAAAAGTACATTCATCGGAGAAAGTAACACATGAACAATAATAAGTATTCGTTACGTTAATTTATTCATCAGTGTGTCAATATATCTGTACATCGTTAGTAGATATTGTCCATTTTGGCCCGTTACGTTAATTTATTCATCAGTGTATCAATATATCCTCCTTGACACACCGCCCAGTGTCGGGCTCTGATACCATTTGTAACTACCCAAGTCCACCGCTAGCAGATATACCTATTTGACGTCATATTAATTTAAATAATTTTTACAATTATTTATTTACATATTTTAATGAAAGAAATAATAATAGAAAAACAAAAGTAAATTCATATCAGACTTGACCCATTCTATTCACAAACGACTCCTCTGAATCTCTGACGGAATTCCCCCGGTCGCTAATAAAGCAATTTACTAAAATAGCCACGTGGCCGTCACGTCACCGGCCCCACCGCCCATGACATCGGCTCTGTTTTTCTCCGTCATAACGTCCGCCGTTGCTGTCAGAATTCGGTGACGCACATATTTATAAATGGCATCTCTTCCACTCACTTTCTTCAACAACAAACAAAACCCATTAACTCATTTGCGCCGCCGACCGGAGACATGTTCGCGGCGGAGACGACAGTGTCGGAAACACAAACGGGTCGAGTAAAATGGCGGCGAACAGACGGCGATTGCAGGAGCTTGTGCTCTGTCTCGACTCCGGCGAGCCGGGTCGAGCATTTTGAGGATCTGATGGCGGCCGGAGGTTGGCCGGAGCTGCGAAACAATCGGAGTGGATCGAGAAACCAGAAGAGGAAAACAGAGACATCGAAACAGAGTTCAAAAGATTGTAAAGAAGTTCAAAAATTGGATTATGTTCATGTCAGAGCACGTCGAGGCCAAGCCACCGACAGCCATAGTCTTGCCGAAAGAGTAAGAATCCGGTCGTGTTTTTAAATATATTTTTTCTCAAAAAAAAATATTTTTAAATTTTTTAAAATTTTAATAATATTCTAAAATATTATTATTGTAATACCAAATTTACTAAAATTATAATATACGGACAAAAACTATAGATTATCTCGCTCATAAAAAAATTTATATATATATTTTTAAAATATTTAAGGACATTAACGTTATTTTTTAAAGTTTATATGTTTTTTTGAAATGTGGTAATGATGGTTTCGTTCACGTACCAACGATATATATATTTTTTAATTTAACGAAAATTTTAAAAATTTAAGGAAAAAAGTTTATATATATAAAAAAGGTTATTAATGAAATTTTTTAAAATTTAAAAATATTATTAAAATATTTTTGAAAGTTTAAAGGATATTTTTAAAACAATTTTAAAAGTCATCTTAGACTAAAATAAAAAGTATTTTTTAAATATTATTGAATATTTTCTTAAATGTGGTACTAATGTATCCGTTCATATATTAATTAGTATTTTTGAAATTTTAAAGAAATTAAGGTATTAATGAAATTTTTAAAAACTCGAAAATATAATCAAAATACTTTTAAAATAAATATATATATATATTCTTAGTTCAATTTTTTTTCTTAAATTGATGGATATTTTTGAAACGTGATACTATTAGTTTTGTTCAAAATATTTTGAAAGATTTAAAAAATATTTAGAGGTATTTTTGAAACAAAGTATCTGTTTGTTTGTCGGGAATTGACAGGCAAGAAGAGAGAAGATAAGTAAGAGAATGAAGTATTTGCAGAATTTAGTACCTGGGTGCAACAAAATCACTGGAAAAGCTGGAATGCTCGATGAAATTATAAACTATGTTCAATCTCTACAGCAACAAGTCGAGGTCATAAATTCATCCAAATAAATAAATCAACAATTTTTTTTTTTTTTTCCACTAAAAGTTTTGATTTTTTTTTTTTTTAGTTCTTATCCATGAACTTGGCTGCTCTGAATCACGAATTCGATCTCGTCAATGTCCATGACCTCTTTGTCGAGCAGGTGAAGATTGTTCGTTTCAAAAATACTCTTGAACTTTTAAAAGTTTTATTCATTCGTACTCTTAAATTCTTTAGAGATTTCAAAAATGCCATTAACTTTTAAAAGTTTTGCGGTCCGTTTAAAGGATAAGGGTATTTTTGAATTTTTTTGAAAATTGAGGTAAGGAGTTTTGAAGGTATTTTTATTAATTTAACGTTAACTATTTAACTACGCTTAGGTTGGTGTTTATTCCATTGTGTTAAAATATATACTATTTTGTGACGTAATTAATAAAATATAGGGTAAATTACAGTTTTGACCTTTGAAGTTTGAGCAACGTGATGATCGTGTTCCTATTTCTTCTAAAAACCTCATCTAGATTTAGGCAAGGAATGCATGTTCTTGTTTCATTATTTGGGAGACGATAGCAGGAGATGGGAGCCAGTCCAACCTATTGCTAGTAGATATTGTCCTCAAGGTTCTAAAATATATCTATTAGGGAGAAGTTTCCACGTCATTCTAAGAAATATTTTGTTCCCTTCTCCGGTCGATATGGGATCGCCACTTTTTATTATAAAAAAAGACGTCACGTCAAGAGACCGAATTAGATGATTTTCTGACCTCGAGAATAAGATCGTTCGATTTTAAAACCTAGAGACAAAATTATCCCGACGTTCAAATTTAGAGACTAAAAATGTAATTTTCTCTTAAAAATCTAAATAATTACTTTTAAAAAAAAAACAATAATTTTCATTCAAAGTTCTAACCATTTTTTCGTCAAAATTTACAGGTGTTTCCGACGATAGAAATCTCACCTGAAACGACTAATTACTCGTCCAACTTTAATAAACTCGAAGTCGGCTCGAGCTCGAGCTCTTTAACAATCCCAGAAACTTCATTTACTGTAATTTCCTTTCTCAATTTCTTCTCTCAGCTTCATATTCTTCGTTTTTTTTTTTTTAATTTTAATTTTTACTTTAATGGTTTTTTCTTCTTTTCTATAGCATTTTGAACACTCTTCAACTTGGGGAGGTGATTTACAGAGTCTTCATGGTATGAGCTTTGAAGAAGAAGGACCGCCATTGTTGTAGCCATCAAGCTTTTTAACGCAGCAATGTTCATACATTGAAGATGAAAATGAAACATTTCTAGATCAAAAACATGTTCCATTTTAACGTTAAATTAGTATTTCAGTGTCTAATTATGGTAGAAATATTGTTTAAATGCTAATTTAGTGTTATATGTTTTATTTTTATTAATAAAAATTATTATCGGGTTTTGGTTGTCGGAATGAACAATCTCTAGCTATTTGCTTAAATCGAGAAAAAAAAAACAATGATTTAAAGTTATATATCGGGTAGAATTTAATCGAATTTAGAACTAAAAGAGAATAAATTTAAAAAAAAAATTAGGAACTAATTCACAGACTCAAGACCTACACGTAAAAATTAAAGAGTCAACATATCGTGAGATCTCACATTGGTTAGAGAGAAGTTCACGGCGTTTTAAAACCGTGAGGTTGACAGCGATACGTAACGGGCCAAAACGGACAATATTTGTTTGCGGTGGGCTTGGACGATTACAAATGATATCAGAACTAGAGACTAGCGATGTGCAACGAAGATGTTGGCCCTCAAGGGGGTAGATTGTGAGATCCCACCTCGGCTGGAGAGGAGAACAAATTATTCCTCACAAGGGTGTAAAAACCTCTCTCTCCAATAGACGCATTTTAAAATGTGAGGCTGACGGCGATACATAACAAGATAAAGCAGACAATATCTGTTAGCGGTAGACTTAGGATGTTACAATATCTCTCGACACAACCACATTCACTCATCGAAGTAATCTTCGATCCAAAAACTTGAAATGTTGATCTTCCTAACATGACATGTCAAACAAACAAAGATGAAGGCACAAACGATCCCTCCCAATCCCAAAGAGACAACCTATCTCTCGACACAACCACATTCACTCATCGAGGCACTTTCGAGTCAAAAACTTGAAACATTGATCTTCCTAACATGACATGTCAAACAAAACAAAGATGAAGGCACGAACGATCCCTCCCAGTCCCAAAGAGACAACCTATCTCTCGACACAACCACATTCACTCACGAGGCACTTTCGATTCAAAAACTTGAAATATTGATCTTCCTAACATGACATGTCAAACAAACAAAGATGAAGCCACGAACGAGCCCTCCCAGTCCCAATCATTATACGATATTTGAAGATTCAAAAGTTGGAAGAACAAGAACAAGAACACGAACACGAACACGATAGACAGATACATTAATCATATTCTTACAACCCTAAAACTTTAATGCTAAAACCAAAAAAGAACACAGAGATTGAGAATGAAATGATGAAGTTGGCATTCAAATCACAGATGCTTCTCCAGCTTCTGTCACAAATCAACAACAGAATTCCAAACTCAAAAACAGAATCAAAAACAGAATGAAATGATGTTTGAAGCTTTAATCTGTAAGCAAAAGGATTCAAAATTCCCCTTTATGGTTACCTTTTCCAGGAACTATAATAACAGGTGCTGATTTGCAGTTGTGGAAGACATGCTCACTCACACTTCCCTGCAGAACGCTGGAAATGAAAAGGAACAAACAAAGCCAATTCCAATCATTACAAAACAGATCTACTTTGTCTTAATGTCTCTAAATGAACTGTGTTTTTTGACTCCTAGATGTCAAGCCTGATGTTCTATATGAACTGTGTTTGATTAGAAGAACATGGATTTGTGTATGTTATATAGAAGCGATTCTCGTCGTCTTTCTTGAATGTAGCAACCAACTTTCGATTGTAATGAGGTTGTTTCTCTCTGGATGATGAAGCTTATCTCCAACATCTCATTGCTCGACCTTGATATGTGTTAATTTGAAATTCAAAGCTTGTCTCAATATCGTTACAAGCGAACGCCAAAACAACTTGTGTGAGATCCCACATTGGTTGGAGAGAGGAACGAAGCATTTTTTATAAGAGTGTGGAAACCTTTCCCTAACAAACGCATTTTAAAACCTTGAGAGAAAGCCCAAAGAGGACAACATCGGTTAACGGTGGGCTTGTGCTATTACAAAAGGGAACGAGTACCTGAGAGGACGCTGGACCCTGAAGGGAGTGGATTGTAAGATCCCATGTTGTTAGATAGGGGAACGAAGCATTCTTTATAAGGGTATGGAAACTTCTCCCTAACAAACGCGTTTTAAAACCTTGAGAAGAAGCCTAGAAGGGAAATCCCAAAGAGGACAATATCTATTAGCGGTGGGTTTGGACAGTTACAAAAGGGGAATGAGTGCTAACAAGGACACTGGGCCCCTAGAGAGGGGAACAAATCATTCTTTATAAGGGGGTGGAGCAGAGATAAAGCCCAAAAGGGAAAGCTCAAAGAGGACAATATCTACGAGCGGTGGGCTTGAACTATTACAACTTGGCCCTAAATATCAGGTCAATTACTACACCACAATACACTCCGGGGTTTCATGAATCCAAATTTACGTAGCTAGTGATAAACAAAACCGCATATCAAATCTAGACTCGACTTCTTAACCCCGAAGTAAAATACCCTAGAGTTTCTAATTCGAATTGGTTCAAAAGTTAGTCAAGATCTTTGTCTTTTTGCAGTGCATTCATCCAAAACATTAAATGTCATAACCAAAACACATGAATCATCAAGTAAGCTAAATGATTGATCTCCCAAGGAATCAGCAAAGTTCATCTATTATACCTTTGAATCAAGCTTCTTCCTCTAGTGCCCATAACAACAGCAGCAGGCTTCAACTTCTCTGCTTCCTTACAAATAATCTTCCCAGCATCTCCCTGCACAATCCTTGCCACAGTCCTCACCTGAGCAACAAAAGAACAAACCCAATGAGTACTCAATTGCAGCCAACATCAGCAGAGCAGCACTCAATGAGTACTCACCATGGCAACCTCAAAGGCCTCCACCGCAAGCTTCTCCATCAGCCCCTGACTATACTCATAAACCAATTCATTCTTCACATCTAATTAAACAAAACAATGGAATCAGTGAAATGGGGATTTCTGGATTAGGGTTTTTTTTTCTTTTTGTATTTGATTTGAAGGATTTGTTACTGGAAACGGCGTGGACGAGATGGATGGTGTCGGCAAGGCGGCAGAAATGGATTAAAGCCCAATCGAAAGCGTGTTTGCTGTTGGGACCATGATCGACGGCAACGAGAATGTCTCGGCCACGACGTCTCACCGCCGTCTCTCTCTCTAGCTCTGGCTCCGGCACTACCGGGATCAGCGACGGAAGCCGGACTTCTCTCCAGTTGTATTCTTCCTCCTCCTCTAACGTATCCATCGGAGAGAAAACAAGACGATCAAGAACTTGCGATGGGGTTGGAGAATCGATCGGAGAGATGGGAAATCGGTGGTGGGTAGGGCTTTAAAATGGTGGCCGGAATCAGAAGAGTTGGTGGCGAAATGGATCTTTTGGATTGAATTGCTTTTTGCAGCCGCCTAATCCGAAGAAATTTCGACTTCGATCGCTTCTAGAAGGCCGCCCATTTCTATGAAATTACAAATTTATGTCCAATAATTATTAAGAACACGAGCAAAATCGAGTTGTCTTATTGAATTATTGTTCATTGTTCATTAAAATGCTTAATTTTATAATAATTATTTGTTGAGAATATAAAATAAAAATATGGAAAATAAAATTAAAAAATGTTATTTTGGAATATAGATATATAAAATATTATTTTAAAAAAAGCTATGAATGACACGTGGCACCATAGAATTAAGCCAAGTGGTTGTGCTGACGTGGAGATTTTGGCGGGGCCGGTATTCGGTTTCATACCTACCATTACCAACATCTTTCGACTCAAAATTTATTTTTCTAATAATTAGGAATTAGGAATCTTAATTAAACAAGTCAATTATTAAGTGTATATAAACTAGGCTTAAAAATCGTGTTGTAAATAGGATCGTTATTACAGTTACATGGGTCGGTATCTGTTAATGGAAAATCTTTCTATCGTATACCTAGTTTTGACCGTAAAATTTATAGAGTTCTTGTAGTACGTCATCGTGATTGTCTATTTTTTTTAGTACAGCGTGAATGTGCAGCGATTTGAACTTTTGATTTCTTGAGAGTTTGTGATATGAACCACGACCCAGTAATTTCTATACCTCAAGATCCAATTACAAGGACGAGAGACAAGAAGTTACAAGTTTTGTACACTTATACCTCAAGTTTTCTAGAAGATGTTGTAGATCTTTCTTATATATTGTGCATAGCTTCAAGATAATGATGTATTAAATGCACTTTAATGCACTATTTAAGGTTATATTATAACCCAAGTAGGTTACCATATTCCATAATTAACTCGTCATTTTAATATGGAGGTTATGTGTCACATAAGTTAAGGTTGTCAAAGGCTATATAAAACCATCTTTTTTTTTCCTATGAACATTACATTTTTTTAATGTAAAATAATATAGTTCTATTTTAGCTTTGTTGAGGGCTAAGTTTTTACTCTGTAAATTTTTGTGCTTATAACTTAAATGACACGTGCATGCTAGAGTCATTCAAACAGTATTGATCAAACCTTTTATGGAGCGATTCGAATCACGAGTTTTCTTTACTCTTAATCTTGATCGTCAAGATAATCTGTTACAAAACTTTCCCTTGAGTTGATTCTATATCAACTTGGACGTTATAAATGTCAATTGCTATTAAACTACGCTGATTTTGATTGTATCTTGGTTCATGTTGTACACAAGTGGTGATTTAAACGAGGTATTCCTAAGCAACAATTATACCTAAAGACACGAGTATTCAATACCGGTTTTCTCCTTATTTTTTATCTTTATTTATAAATTTATATTAATTATTTAATTAATTAATCCACTTGCTTTGCCATAATTAATATAATTAATTATTTGATTAAAATAATTTAATAATATTTTATTTTAATATTGATTTCAAATAAATCTTTACTATAAGAACGAATTGCCTTATTTACCAAAATTATTCATTAATTAACCTACCTAATTAATTAATTAATTATATTCTTTTTCTTACATTTTTACAAATATTTTTTAAATTTTAATGCAAAAAAAGAACTTGATTATTTATTTATTTATTTAATATAATGCTTCATTCTTACCGTTGAATTTATTAGATTAAAAATTGAAATATGAAAGATTTATTACCATTTTTAGTAAAAAGTAAAAGGTTAATCGGTAAAATATTTATTTATTTATTTATTTTTAAATATTAAATTAAATTTTGTAATTTAATTTCAAAACATATCTTTAAAATATTATTTTATTAGAATTGTGAGAGAATAAATAATTAAATAAAACTATGTAATTGTATCTTAATAAATAAAAAATAATAAATTCAAATGGTTCGTTTTTGAGCTTATCCGATTTTTGGGCGCCTTTCTCATTTACTTTTTACATTATTCGGTCAAAAAGCCTCTCGCCGGCGAGGAGAAAGTTCAGCATCAATTCCAAATTCCCTGTCAATTTGCTCTTCGTCGGCGGTGGAGGTTTCCACATTTCTCCGATTCAGCTCGAAAATGGAGGAGAAGAGCAAGGTTCTGATCATAGGAGCAACAGGTTTCCTAGGGTTCCATTTGGCTCAAGCCAGCTGCAATTTTTCTCACCCTACGTTTGCTTTAATAAGAGATTCTACCTCCTCTTCACCTACTAAACTAGACAAGCTCCGAGCTCTCTCCGATGCCGGGGTTCAATTCCTCAAGGTTTGTCTCTTCCTCTCATTCTTGAACTATGTATATAGTTATTGTTCTGCAGCTTTTTCTTGCTGGAGACGACACTGATTTTGAGTGTTTTTAAATGTTAGGGTTCTCTGGATGACGAAGCTAGCCTGATGGAAGCTGTTAATCAAGTTGATGTGGTCATTTGTGCTGTTTCGTCTAAACAGGCGTTGGACCAGAAACTTCTGATTCAAATCATCAAACAAAATGGATCGATTAAGGTAAGTAAGTATGGATTGATTTGATTTTTTCCATGTAATTCGGGCACATTTCTGCTAGATACCATTTCAAAGTTGCTCTGCGAAATAAACAAAATCGGAAAAGAAATTGAAATCTCATCTGGCTCACGGCATTGAACCTCATACTCCAGGAAAAAAATTTGTGTCAATCTGTTTGTTGAGGTTGTAGATCGATGTAATGGATTTTATGTGCTTCTAGTATGATCATAGTCCTAAGGTATATAATCTGCAATTTAGGATCTTACTCTTTGAAATTTGAGTGATATTTATCGGATAGCTTAGTTGCTTTCACAAATATTTATGGTTGTTTGTTTGTTTGTTTACGCTGCAGAGGTTTATTCCATCAGAATTTGGACTTGATCCTGATAAGGTTCAAATATCAAACATGGACTACGACTTCTATGCCCGCAAAGCTGAAATTCGTCGGCTGGTTGAAGCTGAAGGCATTCCATATACCATAATTTCTTGCAATTTTTTCATGAGTTATTTACTTCCTTCCCTTGTTCAACCAGGCATGAAAATTCCTCCAAGGGATAAGGTGACAATATTTGGTGATGGGAATACTAAAGGTTTGTCTACAAAAACACTGAAGATTACGCATTGATTTCTTTTGGATGCTAATAAATTTAATCCTTGATGTCGAGAAAATAACAATTAGTTGATGGTTTATGATCATACTGCAGGTGTATTTGTGAAGGTCAGTGATGTTGCTGACTTCACAATTAGTGCGTTGGATGATCCACGCACATTGAACAAGGTAGTTTATCTAAGGCCCGAAGGAAATGTCTATTCCTTGAATGAACTGGTTGAGATTTGGGAGTGTAAAATTGGGAAGAAGCTTGAGAAGAATTATGTATCAGAAGAGGAGCTGCTGAAGAAAATTGAAGGTACTGAATTTCATTTCAAATGAACCTTGAATTGTGAAATTTTGCTTACGACCATAAACTTCTGTTCTTGACTATAATCATGAATGATGTATGTTAACTGAATGCAACGATGACTTGGAATAAATATAAGTTTCTTAGTCCCAGCTGACCGTAGTTAAATGCAGTGATTCATTACTCATGACCCAATTTGCAGCTGAAGGATTAGATGGTTTACATTGCTAGTGTAACGACCCAAGTCCACCGCTAGTAGATATTTTCCTTTCGAGCTTTCCCTCAAGGTTTTAAAACGTGTCTGTTAAGGAGAGGTTTCCATATTGTCCTCTTTGGGCTTTTCTTTCGAGCTTTCTCTCAAGGTTTTAAAATGTGTCTGTTAAAGAGAGGTTTCCACACCCTTATAAAGAATGTTTCATTCTCCTCCCCAGTCAATGTGGGATCTCACAATCCACTCCCTTCAGGGCCTAACTTCCTCGCTTGTAATAGTCCAAGCCCACCGCTAGGAGATATTCTCTTCTTTGAGCTCCCCCGTAAGGTTTTTAAAACACGTCTACTAGGGAGAGGTTTCCACTCTTATAAAGAATGTTTCATTCTCCTCTCTAACTGATGTGGGATCTCACAATCCACCCCCCTTCAGGGCCCAGTGTCCTCGCTGACACTCATTCCCTTCTCCAATCGATGTGGAACCCCCAATCCACCCCCCTACCATCACTGATACTTGTTTCTCTCTCCAATTGATGTGGGGTCTCACAATCCATCTACCTTCGGGGTCCAACGTCCTCGTTGGCACTCGTTCCTCTCTCCAATCAATGTGGGATCTCATAGCTAGTGAGTGCAAAATGCTAAAATTTCGACCTTCTTGGGATGTTTTTTTTTTTTTTTTTTGTATTCCCTGTGTTTTCATTTTATCTCAGTGAAAGCTTGCTCGACCATTCAACTCTATGCCATATAGACCAATTGGATGGGCCAAGTATCGCTTACAAATTCTTTAAGGTGAGTTAAAAGCTTTAGAGGCCGATAGATAAACCTGATATTCGTTCTTTTAGCAACTTGGAAATATTTTCTGTGTAACGGCTCCCACCACTCACATATATTGTCTTTTTTTGAGCTTTTCCATTCACACGTCCCTTTAAGGTTTTTCAAACACGTTTGTTAGGAAGAGGTTTTCACACCCGTATAAAGGATGCTTCATTCTCCTTCTCAATCGACGTGGGATAAGTATGGTAGAATTGAATGGTCAATCATTTGGATATTCAAACATATAGCTGCTCGATGATGTTCCACTAATTGCTGTTTTGATTCTTAATTGTGATCGCAGAGACTCCTTACCCTGACAACATGGAGCTCATTTTCATATATTCTGCATTCATAAAGGGAGATCAAACGTACTTTGATATCGAGGCATCATCAAATGGTGTTGATGGTTCAAAATTATATCCACAACTCAAGCATACTACGATTAGTGAGTTTCTGGACACCCTATTGGAATGATCTTCCAAGTTCTTATTTGGTTAGCATTTGGTTTTTCCTTTTTTTTAATGAAAGTAAAAACTAACTTTCATTAAAAGAAAAATAATAATGAAAGAACATAAAGATATTTGATTTTAGGAGTACTATTGTTACTATCTATTAACATCATCACGAAAATATTGACGCGACGTGTTCATTTAATTTGTCTAATTGCTTTCTTATTATATCGCATCAAGTTCATCTCAATTTGTGAATCCGAGCCTAGTTTAGTAAATTCGTAGATTCAATTCCCAAAATAATAGTAAAAAAAAAAAAAAAAAAAAAGTCTATCTCAACTTAAAAAATATTTTTATCTCCTTAGAAGTATCTTTTTAAGTCATTTAATGGAAACTAAGAATGCTAACATAGTTAATTCTTGGATCGAACCAAAATTAGAATTAAAAAATATACAAAATACATTTAAATTTTCAAAAATTTCGTAATATTTTAAACTTTAAAAAAAAAAAGTAAAAAATAAAAAACTCCGGTCGGTTTTTTTTAATGTAAACTATTAATATTTTGACTCAAAATATTCTTGAACTCTTAAAAGGGTTTCAAAAATACCTTTTAATTTTTACAGTAATTTCAAAATATCCTTAAATTTTAAAAAATTTCATTAATATCAAATTTTTTTTAAAAAATAAAAAAAAATACTAGTAAACTTTCAATTGTAACATCAAAAAAGAGATAATCTATAAGGGGTGGACAGACCATTTTCGTCCATGTATTAAGAGTTTAAAAAAGGTTAAAGGTATGACTAAAAAAATTAAATTCAAAGATATGTTGGAAGCCCTATTTTTTAAACAAAATATTAGCGATTTTCATACAAAACTAATTATGATCGTGTTTTTTAGATTTTTTTAAAGTTTAAAAAATATTATTAAAACTTTATAAGTTTATAAGTATTTTTGAAATCAGAAGTATTTATATATATATTTATGGTAGTATTTCTAGCAATTTTCTAAGTCGGCCAATGTTGACCTTCTAGAAGAACTTTCAATAAAGTCGGCGGCGGCGGCGGCGGCGGCCATTCTTCCCCCACCAACCCACGTGTCTTCTGTCTTTTTTATATTTTATTTTAATCGAATCTTAAGCTAATTAAAAACAGTTTTAAATAATATATTTATTCGTTCACAATGTTTGCTTTTATTTATTTATTTATTTTTAAGATAATTTGAATTATCTGAACCTGGATGGTTCTTATTTTTTAAAAATTCAAATATTTCCTTATTAAAATTAAAATTATTGCAAATAAAATGTAAAAAATCAAACAATTTTTTAAAGAAAAAATAAAATAATTATCTAATTAGATTTTAATTAATTGGTAATAAATTTCAAATACTCAATTAAGTTTTAATTAAAAATTAAAACTTGGTTCGGGCAGATGGAATCTTTTACTTTAAAATTTAATAAATTGATTAAATTAGTAAATTATAAATTTAAAAGTATAAAAAAAATAAATAGGGTCTTAAAAAAAGCATGTAGGGGTAATTTTGACATTTTAACATTATATATATATATATTTATATTTATATAAATACGGGAATTTCGAACTCCGAAGTCCCCATTCGTCAAAGCAATATTTCTGGACAACGAAAAAGGAACTCTTCCTGTTTCTTCTTCTTTCTTTTTGCAGCTCGCCGGTAGTTCTCCGATCAGGTATTTATTCGCCGGAAACCTTACTTCGATGGCTCAGAATCTCAAGGTTCTAATCATTGGTGGAACTGGTTACATCGGAAAATTCATTGTACAAGCTAGCGCCAAAGCCGGTCATCCTACCTATGCATTGATCCGCAAGTCTTCGCTCGGAAGCTCTGCCAAGTCTCAAATCATCAATCATTTCAAAAGCCTTGGTGTTAAGTTCCTCTTCGTAAGTTTACTGTCCTCTATTTCTCGGAATTTTGTTGTTTCGTTGCTCAGAATTTTTGTGGAATCCTTTGCTGAATAATGTGCCTGATTTTCTTGTTTTACTATTTTGTTTGCGAATGAGTAAACTGAGTTTGATTTGATTAAATCGAAGTGATTACTTGTAATGCATCATATACTGGTGGTTCTTTTTAGTTGTTCTCATTGTAAATTCTGTGGAATCAAAATGAATTTTCGGAGTGGAAATTGTATTGTTTAATTTCGCTAAAACGCTGATATGATTGGGGCAGGGCGATCTCTTCGACAATGAGAGTTTGGTTAAGGCGATAAAGCAGGTTGATGTGGTGATATCCACCCTCGGTGGTCATATGGTTCCCCATCAGCATAAGATCCTATCTGCTATCAAACAAGCTGGCAATGTCAAGGTAACCTCATTTCCCTGCCAATCTTTATCTACATTTTGCCTACAACTATGCCATGGATTGTTGCAATATGCATTCTGCTATAGAGTTTGTGTGTTTTGGAAATTTTGAGCATTGGAATTTGTGTGGTACAGAGATTCTTTCCTACGGAATTCGGCAACGATGCCGATCACATCGACGCGGTGGAGCCAGCAAAATCGATGTACACTGCAAAGGCTGAATTTCGTAGGGTTGTTGAGGCTGAGGGAATCCCACACACATTTGTGGTATGCAATTTCTTCGATGGTTACTTCCTTAGCAACTTGTCTCAGCCAGATGCATCCGTCCCACCTAGAGACAAAGTCGTAATCTTAGGGGATGGAACTCCCAAAGGTACAAATATGTTAACTGCATCCTCTCAAGTTCTTATTGAACCTTTTGTTTTGTTGGATTGATTGTTGTCCACTACTATTATCTCATTTTCTGGAGTTGAAATGGCTTCCAAAATAGTAACCCCCCTGGATATTCAATAGATATTGATGCGTTTCATTGGCTTTTCATTCATCAAAAACTTATGCATAACATAGACACATATTGTATATTATTGGCTGCAGTATGAGTTTGGTTTCAATAGCCTCCCACTCTGTTCATTCTGTATCTGTTTTGTTAGCTGAAGTAGTGATTTACAACAAGGAAGAAGCTCTTCTAATGAACAAAACTTGTACACACACACACACACACACGTTATAAATAATTGACTGCAACATGAAGCATCATTCGTAACCAGTTTCTTGAAGGGAGATATCGAGTTTGTTTCGTCGTTCACCCTATTCATTATGTGTCTGTTTTGTTTGGTGAAGTGATTTACAACAAGGAAGAAGACGTTGGGACGTACACCATCCGAGCCATAGATGATCCAAGAACCCTCAACAAGATCATGTACATTAGACCCCCAGCCAACATCTACTCGACCAATGATCTGGTCTCGCTGTGGGAGAGAAAAATTGGCAAGACTCTTAGAAGGGTCTATGTCCCAGAGGAGGAGGTGTTGAAGAACATCCAAGGTGGGTTTTACCAAACAACAACTTTTCAATTCATAATCTGTCATGCTTCTAAAACACAGACTGATTAACACATTTGTTTTTGCTAATCATCTCTTGCAGAGGCCTCATATCCACTTAATATAGAATTGGCACTCTGTCACACTGCACAGGTGAGGGGATCTCAAACTAACTTCGATATTGAGCCATCTTTTGGAGTGGAAGCTTCAGCGCTGTACCCAGATGTTCGATATACAACTGTGGAAGAATACCTCGACCAGTTTGTCTAAATAAAATCAAACAACCCCCATACCCTTTTTCCCTTGATCTTTTTGGTATAATGGGTGTACGAAGCTGTGTTCTATAGTTATGTATAATAAGTAAATGTTCTCATTTGAAAGCAGAGGTTCTTACTGATGGCCTCACCAACCCACAATTGCCTATTTTTGAATGAGTGCATTTCCTCTGACAGTGAGTGTTGGAATGTTGACCAATCTGTACGGTTAGCGAAATAAAACTGTTGAAGTTAATTGTCTCACTTCACCGGTTTTATTAGATTAGGTTTTACTTAGATTATTATTGTTGTGATGAGTTCAATTGGAATCAAACGTTTTTCATTTGGGTTGAGAATATATATTTTATCTCATTTGAGCTATATATTTATATTCGCTTTTAATAGTAAATTTTTAATTATATTATTTGATGTATGAAATTTTACAATTTTAGTCCATAAATTTTTATTATTTATGCCTAATAGGTATATGAACAATCGTCAAAGTATCTTATAGGCTTTGAACTTATTATAATTTTGTGTATATTGGATGGTTCTACCTTTAAAAATGTATAATAAATTCATGAAACTTTTAATTTTGTGTCTATTAGATATTTGACACGTTCTAATATGTTTTTAAATTAACACATAAAAAGTTCAATTTTGTTCTAAGAATACATTAAACTTTTAATTTTGTATCAAATAAATTCATGTACTTTAAAAATATATATAAAATACACCTATTGATACACAAGAATTTTTTTTTTTTTTTTTTTTT